TCATTTGGTTTGGTAAGAACCTAATGTAAGACCCTGATTCTTATATTCCACATTGTCGGAAACGTGTAGCCACTCTGGTATTGAGATGAGTTATATATTGAATACAAATTAAAACTAACTCGCTCAGTAGCCACATTTAAAAGATAATTGAGATTTGTGGACTGGTATAAAATGGTCAGGTCGCGTCCTCTTAAAAGCTTAGGGGTTTATCGGTGAATTGAATTTAATATCAGATTTATGATATTGATACTTTCTTACTGGAGAACCTTGGTTGGTCCCCCATCAAGGAGTATATGGTTAGCTAAATGAATCCACTCCCCATCATTTTAATTACTTTCACAATCCACCCAGGCATCAGGGCCCGACCCAGATCTTGGACCGTGAGGTTGGAGAAGGTTAAGGCAGGCCCATCGTAATATTGAACTTGGAAGCCTTATTGGTCAACCAAAGCTCTTAAAATATGCATTATGGCCTAAACCAAACTAAATTATTAATTCAGTTTGATAAAGCCTTGGATTCTTACCATTACCCTGAATCTCAAAGCTTGGAAATTAACGACCTGCAGATGGCCCAATTTACTACTTCTATTTTTTACGTGATTACTGCCGCTCCGTAGTCCCTGTAGTTATAAATTTTCTAATACTGAATTCTCAGGGAAGTTTTTATCAATTTGATGCTAAAGCAGCATTTAAAGTAATGGACCTGGTTTAAGTGAAGAGTGATATAAATATTTTTTTTCATATGGTTTGGGTGTGTCTTACAAAATTATATGACGCCTTTAGTACGCAGTTTATTCTTCATTAATAGACCAATTGGGCTCTGTCGGGGGAGTGTAGAAATTAACGCAACTCATTTGTGGTAAATAGACAACTATCTCTGGGATACTTCCGTCTCTATCATGGATGGCTCATGAAATTTGATGATGCCTGATAATGTATACCCCAATTGATGGGCGTGTGTAGATATAGTTCCCAGCAAAAATGCTTTCTAATCCTGACCATTTGTTTATAACTTTGAATTCATATTACTAGATTATTAAGCATTAAGCAAAACTTTTCTACACCCGAATTGAGTCAGAACTGCTTGACGGTGGGCTATGGATAAAGCTAGAATTTAAAAGGAGAGGAATTCCATCAATGTTTAATACAATGCCTATGTTCTGAAGTTATAATACAGAGGTCCTATAATAACTTCAGTCCCATCCCAAATTTGTTCACTTGTTAAGATTAGTGGTGCGAGCAGGCTCACTACGAATCAAACATTAGATTCTATCACCCCTATAGGAAGAGGAAAATTTTAAACGTGAAGGAGACTAAGCACCTGGTACACCACCACCCCAAATTAAAGCAAAAAGCATCGTAATCTGAGAAGATACTGAAATTGCGCTCTTCATAAATTATTAGAGTATCGCCTCCAATTAGGCAAGACTTAATCTAACAACCGTTATTAGAAAATGAGCCTTCCGTAATTGCCCAGAGGAGTATTACAAGCATAATAGAAGAAAATAAGAAACAAACCTACGGTTTCCTCTTCAGCACTGTAGCCAGGCTGACAGAGCAGTGCATCATTCTATTGAGCCATAGTATCCCATAATTTAGATAAGTAAAGCAATGACTTTATGAACTTCCTTTTATGAAATAAAATTTTACTATAGAGACAAAATTTAATCACCAAATGCCCTCAAAGCAGCTATCCAACTGACTCTTCCAAAGTTGCAAGGAACTTTCACTAATTGTAAAAATCAGTTAATCAATAACTTAAACAAATTTTCTTCAAAAGAGGCCATTAACCCTGTCTGTTAGACCCCGAATCCAAACTAGGGCTGCTCAAAGAAGTTATGTACCCTTAATTGGCATTCTTTACTAGATATGATTAATCTTTCCTATTGTTAGGATATGTACCATCAGCTTTAGAGAAGCCTGTTGACCACCGTTTGACCATGATATTCTTTTACAGGAGACTTGAGCATCAAATATAGCATTAAAAGACACCTAAGCTAGTTTAAGGTCTATTATCAGATCGTTCTCAATTTGTACATGTAACGAGAATGTATCGCGTAAATACTACAGTTAGTCAATGATGTGTCCACAAAGGGTTCCGTACTTGGACCATATATTTACTTTATTGTGCTTCCTTTAGGCAATAAGTTACTAAAATCATTCCATAACTTTCATTCCTATGCAGATGTATATCTATCGATTCAAGGGCCCGATGAGAATTATCAATTAATCTAAATTCAAACCATTCTTAAGGACATAAAAATCCTGATGGCTGCAGTTTTTTCTGATGTAAACCAGAAAAAAAAACGAAATCTTTGTTGGCTCCCAAAAACCCTCAGAAGACTCTCTTGTCTAAAGATATAGTTACTCTAGAGGCATTACCTTGGCCTCAGCACCACTGTCGAGGAATCTTGGGTTTATCTTTGGATCAGAATGTTCATTAATCCCACATAAAAGCATAGATCTCTAAGACTGCCTTCGTTCATTTACTTTCATATTACAATAAATTTAGACCACATCCTGTCACAGACGGATGCAGAAAAACTAAATCCATGCATTGTTACTTCTAGCTGGGATGACTGCAATCCTTATATTCAGGCTGCCCTAATAAGCCATTATAACGCTCCAATTTAATTCAAGAACGCAGCCAGGAGTACTGGACAGTGAAACTAAGGAAAAGATGATCACATCTTCTCCTGGTACTGGCTTCTCTAGCACTGACTCCCTGTAAAATTGTAGAATTAGAATTAAAAATCCTCCTCCTCACCTATTTAAAAGCTCTTTCATGTCAGCCCCTCATATCTGTTAAGGCTCATAGTCCTATACCCTCTAAGAAACACTACGTTCTCTGAATGCTGGGCTACTATGGTTTTCCTTTAAGTCTTCTAAAAGTAAACAGGATGGCCAAGCCTTCAGTTACAAAGCTCCTCTCCCTGTGGAACCAGCTTCCAGTTGTTCCGGGAGGCAGGACACCCTTCCACATTTTAAGGAGTAGCTTTAAGCGTTTCCTCTTTGATAAAGCTTATTAGTTAAGGGGCATGGATCAGGTGAGTCCTGAACATCCCTTAGTTATGCATGCTACAAGGCCTAGGACTATAGGGATTTCCCTTCATAGCTTTCACTTCTTCCCGGAGTTTTGTGCTTTTCATCCGCAGGTTCTAATTTGGATCCTGGTGGAGCCTCCTGCCATGGTCCTGCTTGACTACCATTGCTAATATTACTGATATTATTCTTATTATTCTTATTAAGTAATATTACTACAGTTATACTAATACAATTGTCACTTGCTCAATTGTCCACATTGGTTGTTGTGTCGGTCCGTCATCATCACTCATTCATCATCATCTTCTTCCATGTTCATTATCATCAGTCCTACCTATTAGTGGTAGTTGTTGCTTACTGTTGTCCTCTCTCTCTCTCTTCTCTCTCTCTCTCTCCTCTCTTCTCTCTCTCTCTTGAACCCCAACTGTTCGAAGGGCAGATGACCACCCCAACCTAGAGCAAGAAGGGGTCTGTCCTAGTTTACTTGCCTGTTAACAGGCAAGTTTTTCATTGCCCCGTCGCCAAGTGCTTGCTCATGGGTGGTATGTTGGGTCCTCTGTAAATAATGTTATAAGGAGTTCGGTCTAGACCTGCTGTATTTGAAAAGTGTCCTGAGATAACTTCTGTTATGAATTGGCGCTATACAAATTGAATTGAATTGAATAGCTGACCTAATTAACACAGTTTGACTTGCTTGCTTTAAACTGAATTCAAATCTTCTTATATTCAAAATAGAGAGATAACGTAACTGAATTTTTAAAGGAAAGCGCAGGATGACCCTTGTTTTTAAAATAGTCATCTGCACAGTGGTAACCCACCTTTGACATCTACAAAGCACACACAAAGTCACATGAAGACGGTTACTCATCTCCTACAGTCATGTGAGTGTAATGCCCCTTTAATAATAAAGTTAACCAGCTTTGGTAAATTGAGATGTACTTTATGAGTGTACTGTCAGGTCAAAGTCTTGGCAGTGAGCATCTGAGTGTGGCAGCGCATCCAACTTCAGTAAAGTTGTTTGGAGTGCTCATGCAACACATCTCTTCTCTATGGCTGAGACACTGCAGCTGTCATGGCTATTTTTCATACTAATTTTTCTTCTAGTGTGGCTGCAAGGAGAACCAGGGGACGCAGCACAAAGACGAAACAAGAGGGACGTTAACAATGACCAGTGAGTAGGGGTTTGTACAGATCAAACAGAATGTGATGAAACCAAAAATGTAGGGTCCAGCAGTATTAGTTATCTTACATATTGCTTTGTTGAAATAGGACAGTTTATCAGGTCCTTCACTTTATCTTAGGGTTCTCAAATTCTAATATTAAAGAATAAGGTTTATCAAAAGCCTTAGATTTTAATATATTTCACATGTCAAATTGAAAAAAAAAACAAAAGTTGTGCAATGTTAGTTTTTGGTATATTTTTATCTGCATAGAGCTGACTGTTTATTGCTGATTGTGGATTGTAATCAAAATTCATTCCAAAAATTTAAGTTGGAATTTGAACTAAAACGAAATATGTTATTGGATTATCATAGTATTTTTGTTCCACTTAACAGGGCGTTTTTGCAGGGCTCCCGCTGATTATAGACATTCAGAGAAATCAGGGCAAATGATACATTCTCTGAATATTATATAAGGTTCATTGTGAGATTCCTAATAAAAATGTGCATTTTTGTAAAAGCAAATCCTACACCTATCCTCTGACCAAAATCCTGATAGATTTAAATTCAACTGCTCTATAGAATAAAAATTTGCATGAAGTCTGTTGATGGAACTTTGTGATTTGACCCTGTAGACCTCGTATGCTGTCAGATAATGGTCACCTTGTCTTCACAACTGGTTCCAATAAAGAGATCCGCTTCCAGACATCAGCATCAGGCCGGGTTAAAGTGGATAATGAAGACCTCACCCAACTTTTAAATCAGGTAAGACTTTTCCATTACTAACAAGCACACTTGATGTGATGAAATACATCTTTACAAAGTGGAATTTTCAGTGATAATGAGTAAATGAACAACCAGGATGTATATACTGTACATATTTGGTATTTCCAAACATTCTCCCATCCCAAGAATAACCTCACAATAAGGAAAAAAAATGAAAAAGAAGGGTTCATGTTGATGCAATAAAGTGACTCTTTCATAATGAATAAAATGCTAAATAATTAGCATAACTTAAATAACTTTAAAAGCATAAAACCCATATGAGAGACAATAATGTGTTACTCTATGGCTCCTGTGCGTGCAAACTAAAAATATACCTTGGGGCTTTCCCGTAGCTCACCTGCTAGAGCTTGGGCCCCGCGTAGATTTCATGGCGAAACGTTGAAAGTGGACGCCATGCCACAGACATGCCAATTCTCTAAAATGAGTTAAAATTGCAAAATATGACTATTAAACTCAAAAAGACCGACCACCTGTTGGGTTTGGGGTATGGGTGCAAGAGACCCATGTTCAAGACCCATATGGAGCCCATAAAACCCATGGAGTTTTGGAGCATATTTAGGCTGCCAAAAATTTTATTAATTTTGGCACAAGAATAATTCCTTCCATTACAATAGCAGCCGCTGCTCTGGCCCAATTAAGGGAAAGAACAATCTACCTTCCCTGTATGAAATTCATTCCATTCTATACAAAACCCCTCCCTAGTAAGGTCACATGTTCCTCAACAGGCATCACTTCAGTCACTTGCTGCAGTGGCCATGGGTTCAAATCTGATCTGTGGCCCCTTGCTGCATGTCATCCCTTCTCTCTCGCCCCAATCTTCAGCTCTCCTATCCAATCAAAAAAATTTGCTGTTGCATGGTGCTGTTCTAATCAATGAGGTTCAGCTTTATTTGAGTTGAAGCTCCAGCATGACACCAACATCACAAAAGCAAACCAATTGGCTTATCTAAATGAAACAGACAATATTGACTACTGTAGGCTACGTTTCATGTAACTTCTTATCAGCGTACAAGCACTGACAGCCTGCTGATCCTCACATGAGAATGTGAATGATTAACAATTTAGGAAGCAAACACAGCAATTTGGAGGGGACCAAAGATCAGGGGCCAGGTGCATTAAAGTCAGTGGATCTATGATTCAGTCACACAAACACAAATGTACTGTATGTCCATTTTAATTACAGTTAGCTTATTTCACTACCTTAACCATACCACCATAACACTATAAAAACAAACAACCAGTTTGGTAAAGTGCATTTTCAGAAAATGACTTGACCCTTGTTAAACCTGTTGTATCAAGTTGCATAATTCTAGTCAGTAAGATCTTTGAATGTATGTCAAAAAAGTATGCTTACCTTTCTGCTGAAGAGTCCTCATGTCCAGAGTGACTTTTTAGTTGCTATCTTCCTGTAAGGAGGCAAACTGAATAGGGCTACCTTTTAAAGACACAGCGACATCTGGTGGACTTCATAAGCACAACATGCCAAAACCAGGTGATGGAGGTTCAATCAGGTTGAGTTCAATACACTGTTGACCCAGAATGGCTCATTAAAAATAAGGTCTAACCAATGCCGAACCAAATAATAAATGCATTTATTTATCAATAAATATATTATAGCTGTTAGACTCAAGCTGCTAGGGTTTGGTGTCTTTATTCCTGGTTTAGAGTCTTTTCGTTCTTAGCTTAGCGTAGCCTTCCCTCTCCTGTTCTGTGTCTAAGCCAACTTAGCTTCTCTGTGTCTCTTTACTTGTCTTTTATTACCTTTTTTTGGTTTTGTTCTAAAAGGTTGTACACTCATTATTTTCTTCTCTTTTAAGTTTGATCTTTTTTTCTAAATGTAAAAGATTTATCTCAGTTTAAGTGACAAATTAAATAGATTTAAATTGTTGAAAAGTTCAGCTTCAGTGAAACATGACATGTTTATGTGTGTGTGATTTTGTATGTGTGTGGAAGCTTTTCTCTCTTAAAGATTTATACTTTGAACATGAGGCAAGAAAGAAAAAAAGCTCTGACCTGTCTTCTCCTCCTCTGGGAGCCAGTTCTGTGTATTGCGACCCTTCCCTAAGGCAAGGATGTGCTTGTGGAGTCTGTACTTAGTCAAGGCTTTTTTTAAATTATATTTTTGGTTTGGTCTGATTGAGTTGGTGTTCTTTGGGTCCTGAAGCTGTCCAGGATGTCATGGATTGTCTGGACACAGCCTAATGACCAGCTGGCATGGGTACTCTTCTCTGGCTTCAGGTTAAGGCTTTGTGGTGGTATGTCTGGGGGTTACTAGGTTTAAGGTGATTGTAAAATGTTGTTATCTGGTGTCTTTCTTTGGACTTGTAAGATGTTGTTACCAAACTTGTCAAACTTGTCAAATTCATATTTAGTCCCCAAATGTATCTATCTCTGTGTGTGTTCAAGATTTGCTAGAGGAAAGCCAAGCATGTTAAAAAAAACACACACCAGTAGCAAGAAAGAGTACTGTTTTCCTGTTATAGCCTATTGAAGTGACCGGTGCCCCACCAGGTTTTTGTATGTAAAAATGCCACTGTCTAATTTCAGATTAAAACCAACAAAGAAGACATTGATGGCATTAAGTCTCATGGAGGTGGAATTCAGCCTGAGGTCACCAACAAACTAAACCAGCTCGACACGAAAGTAGGGCATTAAATGATTGTTCCTGTTACTTTGTTCTTGTAATAGTCAGCTTATTTGCATTTTCTATTGACTTTATATAATACAAGCTTTTTTTATTATGATGGATGCACTGGCATTGGCATAGATAGCCAATGCCCTAAAATACATTTTCCATGCTTCTTTCCATTTTTTCCAGGTTTCAACACTTGAGAATAAAGTCACTACACTTGAATTGGTAAGACATTTAAAAACGGTTTGTTGTAATGGCTGAAACTCAAGACTGCACCATACATTTAATGTTTCTCTTCTGGCCCTTTCTCACCTTCTTCTCCTTCAGGCAATCCAGAGTGTGTCTTGCAGCAGTAATCCCTGTCAGAATGGGGGAACATGTCTGAGCTTGATCAACTCATATCACTGTGTGTGTCCCAGCAACTGGGCTGTGAGTTCCATACTGTTTGCTACATTATATGGGGGTGTAGGTGTAGAGACACAGGATTTGACCGCCATGTGTTTTACTTGAGATGAGGCTCTAGTCTAGAGTATTGCCCAAATAAAAAAGCAGTGCTCTTGGCAAATTTTTTTGTATTTACTGCATGACCAGATACAAAATACAAACAACACAACAAGGACAGAAACAATGGGTATAGATCATGAGTGTAGACCGACGTTTGTCAGAAAATAACAAAGCAACGTGGATGTTAGTAGCTAGGGTTAGGTGCGTGTCTGTGTTACACACTACCAGTCTGGCTGGGTGTGGGTATATAAAAAGTAAATATAAATAAATATATTTAAATATATCTGTGTGATCTCTAAAAAAGTGTCATCTGCATAAGAACTGGATGGCCAAAGTATCTAAGAGCAGTATGTAAGCCATTCACAAGCTGAACGTACACAATATCATCCAAGGGATTTTTTTTATCCCATAATTTTAATAACCCAGTCATTATAATTACTCTAAAACCTATAATCTAATCCTATTATATGATATTCATGCTATTTTTATTTTCCTCAAATTCATTTTTTTCCCCCTGCGTTGGTCTGTGAAAGCGAGATGTTTTGTACTTTTTTTTAGTAAAAGTGCTCTTGACCACTTGTTAAATGTTCTCTGAAGAGAAGAGAAAAAATACAAAAACACTGGTGAATCACAGAAATAAATGGGTACCAACAAAATAACAATAATGACAAATAAAAATAAGAGGAAATTTGTTGAATATCTATGTTTGTTTGTATATTGCTTCCTGCATGAGGCCCATTATTTTGACCAGTTAAAAACTCCTTGTAGTATGTTTAAAGT